GCGCCCGCCCCCCCGGCTCTGCTCCTCGCGCTCCGCCCGTCATTCATCATTCCCGAGCGACCTCTGCACCCGGACGCGACGGTGTCAGAGTGAGGCCGCTTCTGATGCGATCGCCTGGGGGTAGGGGAGCCCAGGCCTCAGTTTCCCCGTGGGGAGCGGGGGCGCAGTGATGATCCTGTCTGACCCAAGCCAGCTGTAAGCCCGGAACCCCGCTCCGTGTTCGCCCCTCTTCTGGGCACCTGGGGCTGCGGCCGGCCTGAAGGGGGCGGGGGTGGCGGACGGGACGCGGGGACTCCCAGGCTGGCCAGGGCGTTCCAGGTGTAGGAGTGCCGGACAGGTGAGCCAGCCCAGAGCTGGCGTTGCCCAGGTTCAGGAGGGGCACAGCTGGACAGAGGTTTAGCTGCACGAAGTTCCCGTGGCATGGGTGCGGTGGCCACTGGGAGAGTGGCATACAGCCTAGAAGTGGCGAATCCTAGACGGTGGGAGGGGGGGTGGGGGCGGGGACATTTTCACCTGGACCCACCCTCGTGGGAATAAGCCAGACTTAGACTCTTGCCATCATTCCTGGGTCAGCTTCTGGCCAAACCTCCGGGTCAGTGGCCAGCAAAGAAGGGGCTCTTACTCCTGGGTGAAAAGCTATTACTGGGGGAAAGAAGGAATAAAAGAGTTGGATTTTTATTTTTAATAAGAAAGAATCCCGACTTTTCTAATTTTAAGCTCTATTGCTGCTGGAGCGCTCGCTCCAGCCTGGTGCTCAGGGGTCTCTAGTTGACTTGCTGTAAAGTGTCCTGAGAAGGTGTGGAGGTCCTCAGGATGGGCAGCAGCATCCTCACCTGGCTGTTTCCTGTGGTGGAGGCTATTTAGCAGGCCCACCACCTGCCTGTGGACTTGTTCAGCTGCGGTGGCTTGGGAGCCCTAAGGGCATAGCGGGTTATGTGTTTGGGCTGCTAACCACAAGGTCAGCAGTTTGAAACCACCAGCCGCTACGGAGGAGAAAGAGGAGACTTTCCACTCCCATGAAGAGTTAGTCTCAGAAATGCACGGAGCCGTTCTATCCTGTCTTCTAGGGTCCCTATGAGCTGGAACCAGCTCGATGTCAAGGTGAGTGACAGCTTGGATGTTGCTGCAGTGTTGCATCTGCATTTCACCTACCAGCAGGGTCCACTCATAATGGTCCGATCTCAGCAGAGTTTCCAGATGAAGATGAAGGAGCCTGGTAGGGCTGTGGCTTCAGTGTTGGGCTGCAAGGTCTCCTGTTCAAACCCCCCAGCTCAGGGGTCCTCAAACTTTTTAAACAGGGGTCAGTTCACTGTCCCTCATACCCATTGGAGGGCTGGACTATAGTTTTAAAAAAAAGTTATGAACAAATTCCTATGCACACTGTCCCTCAGACCCATTGGAGGGCCGGACTATAGTTTAAAAAAAAAGTTATGAACAAATTCCTATGCACACTGCACATATCTTATTTTGAAGTAAAAAACAAACGGGACAAAAACACCCGGCGGGCCGGATAACTGTCCTCGGCAGGCCGCTTGTGGCCCGCGGGCCATAGTTTGAGGACGCCTGCCCCAGCTACTCCTTGGGAGAAAGAGAGAAGGCTGCCTGCTCCTGTAGAGATTCACCATCTCAGAAATCCTCTCTCTGGCCTTTATAAGTCAGAATCCACTGGGTTTGGTCTGGAGGGCTGGTGATCTCCGTCTGAACACTAGCTAGTGAAAACGCTATGGAGGGTAGCAGAATCTTGTCTCAGGCCTTGACTTGCTTGCTCTGGACGCACTGTCAGGAAGGGCTAGTTCCTGGAGAGGCCACAATGCTTAGAAAAGCAGAGGGCCACCAAGGCCGAGGGAGACTCGGTGAGAGGTGCGGCACCACCCACCTGTGATCATGGACGCAAGCATCCCTACTGTCCAACGATCGTGAGGATGGTGAGGGGTTGGGTAATGTCTTGTTGTGCTGCATAAGGGGGGGCGTCACAAGTCAGAGCTCATGGTAGCTCGCAGTGTTCTGCAGGGGGCTTCAAAGATTCAAGGGGAAATGGCCTTATCTTTTCATCCTATAGTTCCACACGCTTTTGCAGCCCTGGGTATATTAGAGAGGAGCGCTGGTGGCATTGTGGTTACCCGTTGGGCTGTAATCAAGGTCAGCAGTTAGACACCACCAGCAGCTCCTTGGCAACAGACGGGGCTTTCTCCTCCCATAAAGGGTTACAGTCTCGGAAACCCACAGGGGCAGCCTCCATCCCGCCCTGTCGGGTTGCCGTGAGTCGGCCCCGGCTCCTCGGCGGAGACTTTGGTTTGGGTTTTGGACGGGCCCTGGTGGTGCTGTTAGACTGCTAACCCCAAGCCTGGCAGAGGAAGCTGGTCCGCTCCTGTACAGATCTGCAGCCTCACGCACGCACGCACCTCCACTGCCATCGAGTTGATGCCGACTCACAGCCAGTCTATGGGTTAGGGTAGAACTGCCGCTGTGGGTTTCTGAGAGTATAACTCTTGACTGGAGTAGAAGGGCTCCTCATTCTCCCTTGGAGAGGCTGGTGGCTTTGAACTGCTGACCTTGCGGGGAGCAGCCCAATGCCTAGCCATCAGGGCTCCTTTCACAGCCTTTTACAAACTCAGAAGCCTTAGACAGGGCTGCCCTGAGTCAAACAGCACTCGGTGCTGGCGGCTTGGTTTGGGTCTACCAGGCATGGTCTTGCAGGAAGTAGTAGGCTCACTCCGTAGGGATAATTAGGGAGAGACGATGCTTACAGCAGCCCAGGTTAGAGCTGAGGGAACCAGCCAGGGCTCGGGCTGAGCCACAGCTTTACCAACCCCGGCCAGGCCTGGCAGCCCCTCCTCAAAGGTCAGCAACTCAAAACCAGCAGCCACAGGCGGGAGGGGTTGCCTGATGGGTGCTGGACAGTGGGGAGTAGGTACTCAGATCTTCCTCCCCAGCCCTCCTCCCCTCCTCCATGACAGCCCCCTTCAGCCCAGCCTGAGGCAGGGCAGGCTGAGGAGGGTGGCCCTGCACCTGAGACCTTGTTCTCTGTCTCCTGTGCCACCTTCCCCCCTGGGCTCATCTGGTCTCCCGGCTCAGTGACCTAGCCTCCTTGGTCATTCTCTGTCCTGGATGGCCCCCTTCGTGGCTCTGCTTCACCTGACCTTGGAGCTACATGCTTTAGTTCCCTGTAGCTGCTGTAACGGAGCCCTGCTGGCATCGTGGGTAAAGTGGTGGACTGCTAACTGCCAGGTCCGTGGTTCGAAACCACCGGTCAATGCTGGGGAAAAACCGAGGCTTTCTATTCCAGGAAAGAGCTCCAGTCTCGGAAACCCACAGGGGCAGTTCTGCCCTGTCTTCGCGAGTTACTGGGAGTCGGCATCGAATCGATGGCAGTGAGGGGTTTGTTTTTGGCCTTCGGGATACGTCCCTACCATTGGGCTGACTTCAAACAACGCAAGTGTATTCGCTCTCAGTTCTTGAGGCCAGGAGTTTAAAATCCATTTCCCTGGGCCCATCAAGAAGTCTCATTGTCTGCTAACCTCAAGGTGAGCGCTTCAAACCTCCTGGCGGATCTGAGGGAGAAAGACGAGGCTCAGACTCCTGGGAAGACTTATGGTCTTGGAAACTACAGAGGGAATTGGATCACTGACTCTATAGCAGTGAGTTTTGTTTGTGGGGGTTGGGGGGTGGAGGGAAATTAACAGGCTCCCTCTGGAGACTCTGGGGCATAGGTGCCCAAACTTATTCGGCTGGCAGCACCTTCTTCAGGACACAAAAAATAGACTCAGCACCCTACTGGCAGTGAAGAAATGTACTCTAGCCCAGAATCGAGGATAAAAGGTAGGTATCTGCTTTTTGAAAGAGCTCTGGTGGTATAGTGGTTATGCATTGGGCTGCTAGCTTCAAGGTCAGCAGTTCGAAACCACCAGCTGCTTCTCCAGAGAAAGAGGAGACTTACTACTCCCATAAAGAGTGACAATCTGGGAAACTCACAGAGGGAAGTTCTGGCTCTGTCAGCATCAGCTTGATGGCAGCATTTGCTTTTGCAGCCCCTCCTGGACCATCCCAGCACCCTTCAGGGGAAACATTGGTCTATTTGGGAAATAGTGATCTATCTGGGAGATAGTGGTCTATTTGGGAGAGAGTGCTCTTGGGGCCCCTTCCTGACCTCGTCCTGCCTCTGATGTCTGCCAGCATTTCTTGGCTTGTGGCTGCATCACAAGCATCTCTGCCTCTGGTTATGTTTAAGGACACTTGTGATGGCGTGTAAGGCCCAACAAGATAATCCAAGTTCATTTCCCCATCTCCAAATCTTTACTTGAGTCACCATTGCAAGGATCTTTCTGAATAAGACAGTGTTCTCTCAGGGGGCAGGGGGCGGGGGGGTGGAAGGGGGTACCTGAGAAGAAAGCTTTGCATTCACTCTCAGCATCACACTGTCTCCGACCATCTTTCCACTCGAGGGAAAGCAGGGGTCTCTCTCTGCTTCTTCCAACAGGGAGGAGGGGCGTCAGACAAAGCAAGAAGTCAAGTGCACTGTGGCACATGGTGTGTGTGTGGCTGTGTGTGGGGAGGCTCTACAGAAAAGGAGGTGCAGACAGGAGAGGGAATAGGGGATCCGGGAGGTCCAAGAAGCCAGATGCAGGATCCTGGTCAGCAGGAAGGAGAGAAGGGCATTCTCCACCATGTGTTTATATATCTCTATCGATCTATCGATCTATCTGTCTATCTATCTATCTATCTATCTATCTATCTATCTATCTATCTATCTATCTATCTATCTATCATCTATCCATCCATCCATCCATCATATATATGTGACATAGGCCATACTTCCAAGTGACATCATTATCATTGTGCTGTGACCTACTTAGGGGGAGAGCACTCAACCGGAATCTTCCCATTGCTGCTGGGCTGCTCACAGAAGATTCCCTCATGGAGTTGACATTGTGTTAGGGCACATCATGGCGTGGCCGAGCCCAGTTGACACGAAACTTCGCTGTCACGCTTGGTCTTGGCCTTTCTCCATTCTTTGACGTGTAGATTGCCCTTTGCCCTTCACTGCCCTCTGGAAAGGAGCCCTGGTGGGTACGTGCCGGGTTGCTAACCACAATGGCAACAGTTCAAACCCACCAGCCGTTCCGTGCGAGAAAGAAGAAGCTAACCCCTCCAGTAAAGATTTATAGCCTCAGAAACCCAGGGCGTAGGTTTTACCCTGTCCTATTGGCTGCTAACTGCAGCATCAGCAGTTTGAAACTACTGGCCGCTCCGTGAGAGAAAGACAGGGGTTTCTATTCCTGTAAAGCGGTCCAGCCTGGGACACTCACAGGGGCCGTCCTACCCTGTCCTGGAGGGTCCCCATGAGTCGGCATCGATTTGATGGCATTTTATAGGTCACTGTGAGTCAGAATCCTCCTGATGGCAGTAAGTCTAGTTTTGGTTTGGTCCCCTCCTCCCCCCTCTGTTTTCTCCTGCCACCCCAGCTCCTGCCACTGGGAGGGTCCCGGGCTCATCTGGGAGACAGCTGTACATGCTTGCTCCACCCACACGCTCAACCTCAGCTACCCCTAACCACCCTCTGGCTGGGGCAGGGGTAGGGGAGGTCTGCTCTCAGGGTGGATGTGGGGTGAGGCCATGGGCTGCAGCTTGGTGGCTGAGGGCAGGAATGACAAGACCTGGTGCTTAGCGCAGGATCCAGGAGGGGACAGATGGTGGCCAGGGGTGGCTGAGGTGGCCGTGAATCTCCTGGGGACCTGAGGGCTGTCAATGTGCTTGTTTGGTGGGAGATGGAGCAAGTTCTTCCTGGTGGTTTTAGGTGAGAGCAGGTCTTCGCTGGAGGGACTGAGCCAGAAGGAAACAGGGACCTGGGCAGGAGCCCCAGTGATGTGGTGGTTATGCGTTGGGTGCAATCCACCAGGTCGGCTGTTCAAAACCAGTGGCAGCTTCAAAGGAGAACAATGGGCTTTCTGGTCCCTTAAACAGTCACAGTCTCAGAAGCTTACAGGGGCAGATCTACCCTGTCCTGTTGGGTCGTTGTTAGTATTGACTCGATGGCACGAGGATGGTTTCTTCTGGAAGGTTGCTCCCAGGGGTCAGGCCTTTCTTCCTCTCTGCCTGGCTGGTCACCTGAAGGTCTGTCTCCTATGCTGGACACACGGTCCGGGTGACATCCTCTACCTTCTGCTCCGCTCGCAGTGAGTGGAGGCCATGCTGTAGGACTTGGGCCAGTGGAATGGCAGTGCAGTGACTGGGCGGTTCGACCACCTCCATGGCGGACTCAGGACCCTGATGGCGGGGGGTGGGGTGGGGTGGTGGTGGGGTGGTGGGGGGCAATGCTTGGGCCTGACCAGGCACTGACACGCTTTCATTGTGTGAGGACCAAACGTCTCCTCAGGACTCCTGTGTCATGGATGGTCCCCAGGCACCTAGAGTCTCCCCTGGACTGGGGTTGAAGAGAGATGATGGTGCAGTGAGTTAGGCATTCAGCTGCTTACTGCAAGGTCAGTGGTTCAAACCCAGCAGCCGCTCCTCAGGAGAACAACGAGGCTGTCTGCTTCTGGAAATACTTACAGTCTTGGAAACCCTCCAGAGCAACGCTACACCGTCCTGCAGGGTCTCTAGGAATCTGAATGGATTTGGTGGCAGTGGGTTTTGGGTTTTTTTCTGGTTTGAAAGAGCACAAAAATTCAAAAGGCAAACTCACTGCCATTGAGTTGATCCCAACTTTTGGTCACCCTATAGGACTGGGTAGAACTGCCTCTATGGGTTTCCAAGACTCCATGTAACTCGTTACAGGAGTTGAAAGCCTCATTTTTCTCCAATGGAGCGGCTGGTGGTTTGCAGCCCCAACACCTAACCTCTATGCCACCAGGACTCCCTCCACAAAAGAGGGAGAAAAATGCTGGTTGGATAGGGACTGGTGGGACCCCGCGACTCTGACCCTTAGTCACACTCTGGGTCTGGAATGACCTCACCCCCAGGCTCAATTTTTAGCCAAACAACACACAGGTCTTTACTCGGAAACAAGGACACATGGAGGCAGAATCATGGGCCATTCGGGATCAAGGGGCAGCGTTTACCCAATGGGCCAGCTCTGAAGGACTGAAGGAGGGGTGGAGGGAGGCAGGTCACAGGGGAGTGTGTGGGACAGGATCGGTGACACGGAAGGCTCTGCAGTTGACGCACGGGAACCTCTGCGTGTGAAGCGGAGGACCCGCTCTGTGAACCACCACCCCATTCACAGAGACCGAGCCAGGCACGGTTTCCTTTAAAAACTTCCATTTACTGGTCTTTTCTGAAGCAGTTAATTCTCGTATTGTTTTCTTTTTAAAGTGTTTGACCCAGAGTTATATCAAAGTGATTCAAGCGAGCTCTCCACTAGGGCTACAGCCCCCAGCTCAGAGACAAGCCCCCCTCCCTGCCTCTGCCCCCGCCCCCAGTTAACCACAAAAATAAACCCCCAACGAGAGCATCCACAAGCAGAAACCATCCCCACATATCCAGGACAAAAAATAAAATATTTATTGTTCTATCACAGCGAGACACAAAGAGAGGGGTGGGGCGGGGGCTGGGGGCTGCTCTGAAATACGGTGGCTCAGGGGGGTCCGGGGGGAGTGGGGGGGGGTTACAGTGCTGCAGGGGCGAGACCGGGGTGGGGGAGGAGATTCGGGCCGCTGCAGCCGGTGGCCCCACTCTTGACTTCTGCCTTCCGTGGCCCCGCCCCTTTGCAGGGGGTGTGGCGGGGGCAGAGCCAGGACTGAGATGGGTTACCGGGTGCCTGGCGGGCTCGGATGGATGGGTGGACAGAGGAGCTGATGGATTTCCACAAGAGCAAGGAGGCTGTTCCCAATGGGGGCCTTTGGATTGGAAGCCCCCCTCCCCAGACATGGGGAACAAAAATTGACTGGGGAGAAAGGTCTGGCCAAGGAGGGGGCTGGGGTGGGGGTGGTGGGCAAGGGACTATTTGACCGAATCCAGTCTGAGGCTTCTGGTGCACGGGTACCGACAGCAGCCGGGGTGGTGCCAGGAGGGCAGAGGGGTGGGAACTGCCAGCATGGGTCAGCACCAACTTCAGAGGAGCCCGGGGCAGGGGGGTGTCCCAAGGGACTGCGCTTCCCTCCTCCCTCCCCCCAGGACGATGAGAGCACCGGCTAGTAGCACCAAGTTCCCCTGGAGATGGAGCAGGTGGAGGGGGGGAGCTCCTGGGTGGGAAGGGGGTGGGGCAATGGGCAGAGCCCACCCACCCTTTGCCTCTGAAGTCGGAGGTCGACCTCCTTGGGGGGAGGTGGGGCGCTTGGCCACCTCTCTCCTTGTCCTGTGGATTTCCAGGCCACCTCAGCCTGCCCCGTCCCCTCCCAGGGCAGGGGCTAGGAGGGGGCTTGGGGAAGGGGTCACAAAGGGTTTACATTCTCCACCAAGCAGTAGCACCAACGTTAATGAGGTCGCGAATAGGGGGTCCCAGGGAGCTCACTTTCTCTTCCGGCCACAGGATTTCCCCAGGCAGGCCCCACCTGGGTGGAAAGGGGGGAAGGTCTGATGCACCCTCCCTGTGGTTCAAAGCCCTACCCATCATGACCAGCCCCCAGCTCTCCTCTCACACGTGGTCCCCAGGGGAGTAGAGGCCCAAGCCAAACCCGCACCTGACCCTCACCAGCCCCCACAGCACACTGGTGGGGGTGGGTGGGTGGGGGTGGGGATGAGGAAAAGAACAGATGGGGGGTCAGGCTGGATTCTGAGTCCAGTGCTCTGTGTCTGGATGGAAACCTTTCCCCCCCGGGTTACTTCCGGGAGGGGTCTGGGACTGCTCAGGTGGAGGTGGCCCTTCTAGGAAGTGGGAACCTCTTGAAGGAGACACTGAGGCCCACAGAGAGCCTCACCCATCCACGTAGCTGCACTGGAACTTCGGCCCAGACTCTCACCCCATTGGGTCAAAACTCACTGAACTCACTGCCTGCCGTGGGGTGGGTCGGCCCTGACCCCCGGGCGACAGTGGTGAGCATCATCCTATAGCAGGAGAGAGGTAGGTACCACAGCCAGGGGGCACCTCCTGCAGGAGCCGGCTACAGCTCGTTACCGCCACCTGGTGGCGGTGTGCAGGTGCGTAGGGCCAGGCATCCCCTTCGGTGGAGCACCTGGACTGGGAGCTGGGCTCAGGAAGGGCAAGCCTGCCCACTTCCTCCCTCTGGTCATGGCCGCTTAGTCGGGGTGGACGAAGGCAGGCATGGGCTGAAAGGAGTCTCCTGTCCCAGGAACTAGGTGGGGAGCTATGGCTGCTCTGGGACTGTTCTGGGCATGGCTAATAGTGACTTGAGAGGGTTGGGGGCGGTGTTGATCAGAATCCCCCCTCTTCCCTGCCCGCAGCTGCCCC